ATGTTTTCATGTATCTGCAGAAACAGCCTTCTTATACTGGTAAAAATCTTTAGGAAATGGAATACGCAAGAGACAACAGCATGTCCAATTGTTACTAAGCGCAGCCATAAGTCCTCAACTGGGGGCAAGGTTAGAGCTTCCATCAAGTAATGGTAGTTAACCATCTTCTGCAAATTCATAAAAAGCCACAACAAAATTTCATATGCAGCAAGAAATAAAGCAACTCTCTAGAATAACTGATTTTCTCACAAGGAATGACTTGTTACAAAATACAAGCAAACTACTTTAGAATTATTTTGCAGACTAATGACACAAGATGTCTCTGGTAAAGAATCACAACTAAGAACTAAACACTCAGCCTGTTTAGGCCTTAACTGAGTTGAATATGCCCCAAGTAACACACTACCATCCACTCCTGAATTCATGTCCTTGACTAAATAAGTAAATATTACAACTATACCAGTGCATCAACAGGAACAACTGACAAAAAGCGGTTGAAGTAATCAATCATCAATCATTCAATATAAGGCACCAAGGTACATCATATTTTATATAAAAAAGGAAGACTAAACACGAACCATCTATAGGATTTACCTAAGTGAATAACCTCGATAATCCTACGAATGTGAGACTTCAGAAAAAACAAACTGAATGAGAGTGTCATATAAGAAATGGGGAGTTCTTAAAAATTGTCATGTGTAGTCATACAAAAAAGGACTGTATCTAAAACGATGATATATGTGAATAGGGGTGGCACCAATCGAAGAAAACCTTGTCCATCATTGAAATGGTATGGACATATCCAACAAATGCCACTAGAGTCACTGGTGCACAGAAGAATAGTAAGGCGTGCCAGTACTGTAAAGAGAGGCAGCAGGGCTCAAACAAACCTAACACGAGAAGAGTTTGTAAAGAGATACTTGATGGAATATCTCAAAAAAACAACATTTTACTATTACTTATAACTTTTTTTAAATGCTTGGATACTTATTGGGTTTTAATCTCTGGCCTACCTCAACTCACTTCAAACTAAAATGCTTTGTTGTTGTTGTATCTACCCATGCTGATAACTCAATACCATGCTGAACACATTTCCTTTTAACCCATTCCACACTTGATACCGAAACTTGTCAAAAAATTAAACAAACAACCATTCAAGGGAAAATATGGCAGCATCGCCATCTAACATGATTTTCAATTATTCACACGCTGTAGCACCATCATGGATGATACCAACACCAAGACAATCTTCTAAGCAACTGATCAAGATAAGGATACCAGATTAATTCGACACTATTCTCTACTGATCGTGATAAACACTTTATATTTAACGAAAGGACATAGGAGTTATAAAAACTTTTTTCCATTTTTTGTGTTCTACTATAAGTTAACTAAAGAGTAATGAACGTGTGTCTTGCAGCATCAGTCCATTTGGCTTGAGGTGGGATAAAAAAAAACCCAATTCATTTGCTTGCCAGATCAAATAATCATGTATACATCTGATGGTTGCACATGGCCATCAGCCCATGTATGGTCAAGTGTTAAAACAGTGAGCTGTATTCATGTCCCTACAACTGAAGGTTGTTTGACCAGGCATTACATTGACAGTCAGTTGCTTGCTACATCAAAGTCTATCAACACTACAACTCCGAAGTAGTTTTTGTTACAAACTTACAGTTACTAGCCTTTCATCTGAAAAAGCTTACAGTTACTAGACAATTGTACTTAGCAATATTTAAATAAAGAAAAGTTTCAAATGCACTATAACAGGACACGTATAGAGAGTACTCACACGTGGATCACAGATCGAAATGTAAAGATCAGGGATCTTCTGAAAGCACTGCGATAACATCAAACTACCCCAATTGTACTGATGATCAGGCAATTCAAAGCATAAGGTTGCCAGTCTCTGTAGATGTGCCATCTGACCAAGCTGGACCGAGATGGGATCATATCTATCAATCCACTTGATCATTTCCATAACAGGAGCAACGATGTCAACCACTGGTTGCCTCTCGAAGAAGCATTAAAAAATACTCAGTTCTATCAGCATTGGTGACACAACAGTGAGCTGCTGCAACCCTTTGACAGTTTGCAACCACAACCTTAGGAGAGACTCTGAGCAGATAGCGAGGTTGGACACCCCTTGAGTGTCGACGAGACGAAGTTGTCGCAACGAAGGGCAACGAGCGGACGAGAAGGCGTCGCCGATGTCGCAGGCGCCTGGGAACTGGACGTAGGCCAGGTCCAGCATGTTGAGCTTCGTGAACACGCCGGACGGTGGCAGCACGAGACCAAGGTAACCTAGGCGGAGGATAAGCCGTTCGGCCCTGTCGAAGCAGGGCATCTCAAGTTCTCAACGGCGGCCCTTACACCGGCCTCCCGAACCTTCGTCAGCACGTTGTGGAAAAGGAGCTCGTTGGTGAGTCGGGGCGCTGCGAGGCGGAGTACCGCGGCCGCGTCCCTCGGGTCGGCGTCGTTGGCCACGACGCTCAGGAGCCGAAGCGCGGGAGCCTCATGGCGGGCGAGCGCCTCACTCTCTGCTCGCTTGACTGATAAGCCATGGCTGAAAATACTGTTGACTGATTTGTTATGAGAGAAAAATATTATTAGTTGGCTGAAAAAGTACGCCTTATAAACCAAGCGAATAGTACGTTTGTATCGTGCCTCTTCAGCGAAGTTAGAAACCGAAAAAGGGTGCTCTGCAGAGAATCGTTTCTTTGCCGCACTTATGGAGTACCAATTTTATTCTTTTTAGTTAGAATCCGTTTTTAGTGCAACAAGTTCAATGCCGTACTGACTCCAGGTTCTGAGTTTGCGTTGTGCGATTGTAGCTGATCAAGGAAGGGTAACCTTGCAAACATGCAATGAAGTCAGCAAATGTCTTCCGGGACAGGGGATTTGTCACTGCCATCGTTGGCCCTGTTCCACTATTACAAGGCATTGGCAAATCTTGTTCACTGTCCACCCAGTGATACTGTGATTAGTGATCACGCAATGACTCTGGCAGTTTCTGTTAAAACAAAGTTAGATGCAGGGCTTTCTGCCGCTAATGGCAGTTCTTCAATTAGGACAGTTTTCTGGGATCCACAATCAACTAGGAAGCCAAGAGATTCTGAAATTGAGGAAGCCAATTTTGAGAATGGTGTGTATGCAAGTCAAAGAGGCTCCCACAGAAGAGGACAGTCTGGCACGTGAAAGTAGGAAGCCAGAAGAAAGTCAGGAGAAGCTTCTGAAGGAACTTCAGCAACAGAAGCTACACGCCCTTCCGAGACTGGGACATGACTTTTCATGAGTGTTAGGTTAGTTTTTTTTTCTATTTGTTAATGCACCTAGAATGCCTAACGTATGGATCAGATAGGATGATTCAATTGTTGAATTAACTAGCAGCAGCGTCTGTTTACGAAGCATGGAAGGCAGCATAAATCATCTCTATGAATAAGGATACCGCGTAAATTATGCAGAGCACAACAATGATAAGTTAGTCTAATTGTCAGTACAACATTGAAAACCTAATGACCTCGGGAATATCTTGTAAATAAAAGCAATATCATATCATATAGTACCTGCATAATTAACAGCTAATTCATGAGTTTGTGATGCATTCATGTAATTTTGCTCGACAGATGTCACACCTGTAACATAAATCAATTTCCAGCCAACAGTTGGAGCGGGTTGCACCTCAATTAATTTTCAGTGGTTTCAAAACCTGTGAAGGGAAAAATCAAGGGAAGAAAACACAACAGAATTGTCTGAAACCACACTGCAACATCTATAACCACAGCATACTGAAACTGATTTTGATCTCAACACAAATTACATGTTCTACTGCAACGAGTCTAAGATTTTTCATACGTCTCTGGGTTACATGAACTCTCTCACAAGAATTCCTTGCATATATGCTGTTACTTTTTGTTTGGAAAAAAAAAACAGCAGGAGGTTATGTTACTTTCCCTCGGATGGATAACGATCCAACTGTATTTTCCAAGGAAGAACAAGCAACCAATTGGAGTCAATTTAAAGGTTTCAGCAAGGAGCTGACAGCTCCTGACACGGGACATGTTTCAGAATTACTTCAGTATACAGATTTAAATGTGAATGCCACATGAAAAAAGAACATGCCATAAGTTGTCATGAAAGCACAAACTCAACTATTGATTGATGCAAAGAAAACAATTGACTATAGCTAAGTGTTAATACAGTTTTTCTCAGGGTTCATGAAATGTAGAAATAAGCAAATAGCTGTCTCTCAGCATCAGGTTGGTCCAACATTGTACTTCTCTTGGAGAGAACTAACTTTTGGACCTGACAGCCAGTATACAATTCTTCCAGGCAGATCAGGTTGGATCACTGTTCCTTGCGAATGCCTCTAGCGACACTACAACTGATGTTCTATTAGGAAGATGAGATGTGGCACGTCCACATGACAATTAATTGCACATATTACCATTTGAAACTATATAAGTTTCCTCAGGCTCCAGCACATCTGTTTTTTTTCTGTAGCACAAATAAGACTTATAGTTCAACATTTTTTATGTAACCAGAAGGCTTCAGCTTGAAACCGTTCCATACATGCAACATTAGCGAAATATGGAGGATAATTTTTATTTGATTGACATAAATAAACACACGACCAAGCAAACTAAATTCACAGTAAATAATTGCTCATTAATACAGCCACAAAAGAACAAGCTAATCATAAAACTTATCACCAAAGATCGAAATTGTTCAACTTGTGCAACAACATTCATTATATAATAACTAGCATCCATAAAGGTACACTACATAATTGTCACAACAGGCATGCAGTACTAATTAGATCAAAAGCATGAGAAGGCATACATCCAAGCATGAGCACTAATTAAGTAGGCATACATCCGAAGTCTCAACAGGCTTGCAGTACTAATTAAGAAGGCATACATCCAAGCACAAGCAGAACATTTCACCTGAGTCAACTGGAATTTAACCAACCTGCTAGCTCGTACTTAGAGCACACACTTTCAGTGCTTATTTGTGAGAGCCGGTGATTCTGAGAAATAGGGAACATAACAAGCAAAATCGCCCCGGCATTTGTAATCTTTGAAAGTGGCAATAACACTCACTTCCTTACGGTCCATGTTGTATGCTATCAGCTCACAGGTCAACTATTGAAAAGAAAAGAAAAGCACATTACAATCTTGATGAATGTCTACCACTTGATACTCTGGAGTGACTCTTGTTTCTCCAAAGACATCCAAAGAGTTCACAGTGCTCTTCAACACCCATTCCTGTGTATCATAATCCTGAAGAACCCATGTGGATAGTTTGTCGTTATTTTTATCAGCAGAATCTATAGTCACGCAATGTAGGTGCCCTTGGGATTGACCTAAATAACATGTAATGCTGTGCCTTTGGCTCTCATCAGCCATACCTGGCATAGTGATCATCCTTCTTGCCTGCCCTTGTACATCTACAGCAAGTATGTGCTTTCCATCTGAGCCCCAAACTATCAAATGTAGGAAGCTATTAACAAAGGCACACTGATAGACAGCATCTAGTGTAAACTGATGATGCCACCCTTACAATTGTCCTTGCTCTTTTTGTTCATCAATTTGGTTTTGACTCCAGGTCCCATTTCAGACGAGTAAACATGCAACAACACTACATCCTCGTGCATATAAGGCATCGGGAAATGCACATCAGGCATCTGGAACTGGACCAAGTGAAAGTGAGAGGATACGGCCGGATCGAAAGACAAATAGGTGTGGATTATTCCTTCACAAGAGCCACAAGCAGGCACGGCTGACCATTGCCTTGTGGTCGAGTTGCACACGATGTAGCCTTCAGACGACTCCTGATGCTGCCTGAAAAGGATAAGCCCGTTGCAGGAATGCAACAAGAAGGCCGCGATCCCAGTCATTTCCGTCAGGAAGGAGAAGCATGTGTCGATGTCCACAGGCACGGATCTCACTGTGAGGTCGGTGAAACTGTAACTGAAACTGATATGGCCATTGTCAACCTCGGAGTCGGAGACCTCGGACGTCTGGACGAACAGTCCTTGCATGGGTTGGCGGAGCTTCTTACGGTTGTCAAGGTCAGCGATGAGGTCGCACCAGGCCTTGGAGATGCACTTGAAGCGACAGACGGACTTGGCAGGGACACGGGAGAGGATCTCCACCAGGGGATCGTCAGGGAGGACGGGCACCGCGCCGGCGCTCATCTTGGAGCAGCCCGTCTCCATGCCTCCCTCCGAGAGCAATCTGTGTGAAAAGCGGGGACCGAGCGAGATGGAGGTGTGAGGGGATGCGAGGGGGAAAATGCAGCAATGAGGAGGAAAAGAGGGGCTTACCAGACACCGGAGATGGACGCGGTCAAGGGCGCCGGCGCAGGGCGGTGCCGAGGCTGAAGATCAAATTCGATTCGAATGGGGATTTGGGGGATTTCTGAACCCTAGGAGCCGCCCGAACTTGAGCTCGTCAGCTCGGTGTCCGTGGAGCCGAGAGGCTGGCAGCGGCTGGAGCAAGCAAATGAGCTCTCAGTGGAGTGTGGACAAACGAGCAAATGAGTTTGGGCTTCATGTAAACTAGCAGGAACCCCATGGCAAATGCCGCGGGTGCTAGGCATAAATAACAGGTAATCTTGGAAGAATCGACAAATTCATTCATTGTTATCATCTAAAAGGAGCAGCAGAACAACAAACACATAAATATATATTCTGTAATTGAAATATTAAGAAATTCTGAAAGTAGATTACAAAAATAGAAATCAATTGTTGTGGGGAGCCTGTCGTTTAAATGTCAATTTCAAAAAGTCAAAATCGCCTATAAACATATTATCTATAGGTACAACCTAAGCCCTATTCTTTCTGTTTGAAGTAGATGAAACATCAGAGTTCAAAGCGCACTATGATTATATGCAACATGGGCAGCACCACTCTTTGCTTGTCGAAGGAAGATCTACGGGAAAAAAAAGGAAAGCTATCACAGTGGTCAACAGATATAATGAGTTAACTGAGTGACTATGAGAGTTGTGTCATTGAATAGACCTTTAGGTGGGTTCATATTGCATAGAAGCATTAAGCGAACGCCTATCTTTAGTTTGGAAGTGGTGTTGTGGTGGTCTGGCTATGCTTCAATTTGAACTATACTGAGAAATTGCAGTGCATAAAGAGCTTCGAGTGGATAAGATCACAAATTGTTTACACATGCTGAAATGAAGTCTTGAATCACATATATCGCATTAAAAGGAAAAAGGGTTACATGATGAGGCATTAGCAATTCAGGGACAGTGCGTGATTGGGGGTTTTCTTTCATAGAGTAATCCACAAATTGCAAAGTTCAGATTATTTCCAAAGATGTAAACTAATAAATAGTGAGGACAAATAATTTCACCTTTGTCAAGGGCTGAACACAATTGCAGCACCAGTATTTGGTATGGCATCCCATTGCTCCATACATCTAGGAACACCATTAGTTTGTCCGCACTACCTTTTCTGCAGAGTAGATCAATAACAGTAGGACAGTTAATCGACTAACCGAAGATATGTTTGGGATAAAGTATCACTGCGCATAAGTATCCACTGTAGCACTTTTATTCGACAATCACTGAAGTCCATCTTTCCTCTGAAATATGCCATCCCAATTAAAGTGCTTCATACAGAAAAGATGTTATCATGCCTAATAAATTTATTGTAATAGAACTATCAACATTCTAAATATTTCTTAAGCGATTGTTGTTTAGCAGATACTATAACATCTATGAAGCAGATTAGCAGGAAGATTATACTTTTTAATAACAAAATTCGTGCATGTTGTAGTAACCATCATGTAGTAACTATGAAGCAAAGCTGAATTTTCTAGGGGTGAGGATGGGAGTTACATAAAATTCTGATCCCTCTAGACCTCTGAATCCGACCACAATTTATTTGATTTTCTAGTTTTCCTTCCAGGAGGTGCGTGGGCTATGCATTTGTTTTCTAAAATTATGTGAGTAATTCTGAACCACAAATATTAACATTGCAGAACTCACTGAGACACATAGGATGGTTTCAGAAGGAACAATTACTCAAGTGAGAAGAGCCTTCAATCGTGAAGCTCGTAAGTTTATGCGGCACGCGAATCAGAACTATAGCCTCCATTGAGGTAAGCAGTTTCGTGATCAATGTAAAATATAAGTAGCAGCTCACAGCACCGGAGGAGTCATAATTCAAAAATCCATAGTGAAACCAAAGAAAGGGGAAATAAGAAAACTGACCAATACAACAACTAATCCATAGACGCAGGATAGAAGGTCACTGAACAATTCTGGTGATCTCGAAGGAAGCATTAAGAAGAGATGCCATCCAAAAAGCGTATACTCAGGAGTATTAGCCAATGATTCAGATTAAACATGCATGTAATAAATAGAGGAGACCTTACCACAGCATCAACCCTATGAGAGAAAAATGTGAAGCAACTGTCTTGCTGCAGGAATTTTGGCTGCATGCATACAACAACAAAGCCTTTTAGTCCCAAGCAAATTGGGATCATTGTAACTTTAGATGCCAACTCCACAATATGTCCGAAACCTAAATTGACTCAACTCTCCAAAGATGAAGCAAGCAAATCAGTCGGTATTTTAGCCCAGGAGCATTTCCCTTGAAGCAGTGTTAAAATGCATGACATGGATGGTCATTAATCCAATCAACCTTAGTTGCCTAAGTAGTCAAGGCGAAGGCTTCTAACGGAAAGCCTGACCATAGCATTGCCATACAAATATAAAGATAAGATACCAGGAAAAATAAACGCAATTATTTTTATGCATAGAATTGCTATTCATTACTATTACCTGTGCGAACAGCCATCGTGTAATTTGGACGGACTCAAATATTATATTCTTGCTACTACACTATTTTGAGATCCATATTATTGGAAATAAGTACGAATAAATGTGAGTTAAAGAAAGGAGCACATGAAAAAAATGGAAAAGGATACCCAACATTCAAAGGTGCTGGGTACAGGTAAAATTCCAAATTGTTTATGCGAAGCAACCTTTTGTTTAAAGGAATGAAGGGATAATCGACAACGTAAAAGAGGCAGTAGCAAAATACAGTAGCTGGTCTTTGAGAAATTAGCAGCAGTATATGCTTATGAGGTAGTAGTAGGTGCAGGTGAATGCACCTTTTCATATAACAGGAGGCAGGCAAAATAAATCATAAACAGAAAATTAGAAGTAAAAATGACCTGAGGAAGAATGAAGGAAGACCAATACTGTATTACTAAATGGGACTATTAAATCTATAGCATGTCCAATTTCGAATAACCTACTTTGGAGACACAACAATCTCCTGGATAGTGAAGATAAGAGCTTAGAGGAAGTTCAGAATCAATTAGCATCAGTAACCTCTGCCCTTTTATTTGAGGACATGGAACACATACTTCGATGCAATCGTTTGGTAAACTAAGATGGGTCCACTGCAATGTCTTCGCAGGAAATATACATAGGAACAAAAGCATGGAACATCGCTAATTAAAGAAATTTTCTCAAATATTCGTACCACTAATCTTGGGCGAAACCGCAGTACATGGACATTAATCTGCAACAGATAGATGGGAAGCGGGCTAAGTCATGAATGCAAGAACAATTGTTAGGCAGAGGAAGAGGATGGCAAACTTACCATGTGTTTATGCTTGTTAGGTACATGCTACAACCAAATGAGCTGCTGAACCTGGCACCCAAAAATACAGTAGACATCGCTGAAATCAAAATATGGGTATATCGAATCGACCAAGCAAGTATCAGATCGGACCAAGAACATAGTCGTAGGGACTGTCACGTCGGCGGCATACACGAGGCCGAGCAGCCGTAAAGCACGACGGTCGGGGTGAGGCCGGGCATCCGTAGAGCAGGTCGAAGAAGCGGCGCAGATCAGCGCGAGCATCCACGTGCGTGAGGAGGGGGAAGGAGAGAGGTGAAGGCGGGAGGCGGCCGCCGCCAGGGCTTGCTCGTGCGGCTGCGCCGGCCGATCGGGGGCGGCTCGGGCCGTTGCGCCGTCCCGTGGACGCGCAGCGGCGTCGCGGAAGGGAGGGCGACGTGGGTATGAAGGACGCCATGGGGAGGGAGGGAGGGAGGGCGACGCGGGAAGGGCGAGCGGCGGCGCGGAAGGTGAGGACCGAGGAGACGGAGGGGGGAGGGATGGCGAGGGCGAGGGCGTTTTTTTTTTCCTCCGTAGGAGAGAAGGCGGAAGGGATGGGGAGAAGTGTGGACGCGTGGACGGTACCGGACGTGAAGCCGTGGACGATCGGAGGGCGGTGGTGGAAGGACTGTTGCTGGTACAGGAAACTGAGTCGAGCGCTTTCCCCGGTTGTTCCACATCTGCCGGCTGCTCCTCCTCATAAACCAGTCAAATAGTATTTCTCTCTCACAGAATCAATCAGTTTTAGCCAAGTTTTAGAGCAGCGAATGGCCTGAATGAATGGGCTGCAAAGCTTGAGCTGGGTCGTCTCGTGTCTGTTGTTAATCGTCCATTATTTTTTCCACAAACAACGGGCTGGTTGTAGAACGTGTACGGTGTACTAGCCTAGCTCAGCTGGGAAGCGGTGTGGATTGCTAAATTGCTAAACACTCGCAATTCCTAGATTTTTTTAAGAAAAAAATGCGACTTTGTCTACGTAGCGTTGGACGTTGGTGCTTGGCTTGATCAATAAAACACTCAGCAAAATGGTGGGCAAAGGTGGACAACGAAAACATGTTGTTAGGAGAGAAAAACATAGTCAATGGCAACATGGCATGTCTAGTTGCCCACATTTCATACATTTTAGTCGACTGAACTCTCTCAAGACTTCAGGCGGCGGCGCCTATGCCCACGCCCGCGTGACGCCAGCACCCGCGCCGGCATCTTCCGCAACTCTGGTGACCTTCTTCTTTTTCTCTCCCTATCTTCCTCCCTAACTCTGGCGACCTTAGAAAAAGGAGGGTTCAGGGGAGGAAGGCCGGCCAGGCGCGGGCGGTGGGGACGGTGGCAGTGCGGCTTAGGAGCCCTGTGGCCGTGGAGGCGGCCGGGTCAGGTGGAAGCGGGGGCGATGATGCATGGCGGAGGCAGGAGGGGAGAGGAAGGAGGCCGCTGCGGGCACGGTAGAGTCTCGCCGGAGCTCTGTGGCCGCGGTCGAGGAGTTCCAATGAGACCCTACTGCGCCACGGTGGGGCGGTAGGCGGCGACGCATTGGGCTTGAGGAAGAAGAAGCTAAGGTCAGTGGTGCCGAA